AGATGGGGAGGTCACCCGCAGAGAGGTCAGCTCCTTCACACAGCACTGGGGCACCCCGAGGGTCTCCGGAGGGGCACACTCTGCAGTGCTCCTCAGCTGGGAGGCGGGCGAGCCAGCCAGCGCTGTCGTTGCTGGCTTCAGAGCGTGAGAGGGTGAGTCAAAGCTAGCTGGTCATCACGTGCATGACGATAAAGCACTGAAAAGGTCACCCCCACGTGGGCACACAGGAGGATCCACCACTAGCTGCCATGCCTGTTGTCACCACAGCCCCCTCCGCAGGTGACCTGGGTTGGGCTGGGAGCAGCTTGCTTGGGGAGGGCAAGGGAAGGTTCCACACCTAACAGACAGTTCAGACACCGCCAGCCAGCCGCTTCAGAGTCCTCTGTCCCAGTCTGTTTGGAGGGAGGGGTCTGAACATGTCCTGTAGTTTATGTGGCTGGAATAAAAGGCTCATAAAGGGGCAGGAAACCATCTTCCCAGAACCAGCTCAAAACAGTAAAGAGGCGGAAAGCCTCAGATTTTAACCAGGAGTCTAGCTGACTGGTCTCAGCAGTACAGTGCGGAAGTTTCCTGTCCTCCCTCTTGCCACCGCCGAGTCAGCTGGGCCCTTCATTCCAGGAGGAAGGGCGGCGTCTGGGCTTAGTCAACACCTTCCCACTTCCAGGCAGCGGAGGCCCGCGAGCCTGGGCTGTGAAAGGCAGACCTGTGTCGCCAAGCCCAGGCTGACCTCCGTCCAGGATGAGCCTGTGCGCCAGGGCAGCCTCATTGGGCGGGGTGCTCCCACAGGGTAACCCGAGGCTGCAGAAACTTAGGCAGGCGCTTTCGTCTTTCTCAGACTAAAATAATAAAATGCCTTGGACAACCTCCTCCCTTCCAAAGCAGAGTATAGGCCAGTCCCTCGTAACGTGACTGCAGGCAGCCGACAGGTTGTGGGCCCCTTCCTGCCCATCGCTGGAGCTCCTGGACTGCGATCAATAGGGGGTGAGGCCGCCTGGTGCCATCTTTGTGCGGCATCACTTGAGGCTACCAGGGAGGTAAAGGCCAAGAACTGCTCCAGCCTGGGTGCCCAGGGAAGCGCACGAGACAGCAGGAAGGAAGGGTGTGAGCCTGGGCTGAAGGCTGGGCAGGAGTAGACCAATAACGAAGCTAGAAGCTGTGTTGTTCAGCTAACACTGCTGGGGGACTCGCTGCCCTGTCACCCGCCCTCACTGGCTTGAGGCTGGCTTGAGGTGAGGAGGAAGGAGCCTGGTCTTCCAGTAGTAGAAGCCTCAGTGCGGTGAGTGGGAGTGGGAGAGGGAGTGAGGGCTTGCTTTTTCATAACCCTACCCCACCCACAAATGTCCTCCTCCTCAGCAAATGGAGCCCTCCCGACTTACCCTGAGCCTCCTCACCCAGACTGTCCCACCAAGACCCACCAAGACTCTTAACTGCCCAAGGTCTCCATGTGGACAGGCTGCTGTGAGGCGCTGGCTGGTGAGGGTCCAGCGCTCCTGTGTGCCCACGTGGGGGTGACCTTTTCAGTGCTTTATCGTCATGCACGTGATGACCAGCTAGCTTTGACTCACCCTCTCACGCACTCTCACACCTTAGCTACCTGGCTAGGGACTGGCCTGGGTGCTCTATAAGTACCGATGGCACCAGTGCGTTGTGACAGTCTCCAGTGTCCTCTTTCTGCTGTTTTCTGCTGGCCTAAACAGGTGCAGGATCGGGACTGGATGTTGGAAAGGCATGGTGGGGGCGGGAGTCGGGGCTGGGGAGTGTATGGGGAGTGCCTGTCCCTTCCTGAAACACACACAAACAAGTCCTTCAGTATAGGCTTCAGCCATCATCGGTGTGCCTGGGGGGCTCTGGGGATGCCATTATAGAGAAAAAATATATTGATGTAACTTTTCTTTTTTTTTTTTTTTTTCAGTGAAAAATCTAGTAACTTGGGATAGCTGACTATTTCAGAGGCTGGCCCCTCCCACC